GGCTCGTAAAAAGGGGAAAATAGTTAGTTTTTCTCGTCTAAACCATCGAGTGATGACAATTATGTCGCACTTATAATCTAAACCTAACCGAAATTTGAAGTTTCACGCCGGAAAAGTTGTGAAATATTCCTCCGTGAAGTGAGATCATAACTAGATAAGGGCTATTTGTTGAATTCGAGAAAAATTTTATTTATGCATGAGAAAATTAATGACTATTCTCCTACTGAGATCCGTGTCCTGTTTGCATACAATAAAGGTGTTCTTAAACTGCAACTTTACAAAATTCGGGCTTGATCGGGATCAAAAACAACGACATTTTGTTAAAACGCAAAAACAAAACAAAAAAAAGGATAGTGATACAACTTATCCATCGGATACGAGGCAAGGTGTGAGGCGCTCAATTTCAAGTAGGAAATAGAAACTGAGTTCTCGTCTGGCGAGATCTTTAACTCAATTACATGTAATTTGGTGTCGTCTAAAGCAAGTTTACAAACAGCTCCAAACCGAAGTGAGACTGGACTGTTTCATGCCAAACATAGCTTTGAAGTAATCTGCTGAAAGCGATCATAACTAGATACGGGGCTGCTTCTGAATTCGAAAAAGTTTTATTCTATGAGAAAATTAACACTCTCCGCATATATTTTCTCTTTTGAAAGGCTGATATTCACTCCCAAAAACCCGAAGTCTCACGGTTCAACTGTGAATATCGATTCGCGGACTTTTCCGGCGATGAGGATTTTGCAATAAAGGAAAACCTTACCTCAGTCTGCACCGCTAATGACCACGACCAAGAGAGCCCACCTTTCACGAATCATTTGATCAGCCCACACTGGCGTCTTTTAAAAGCCCGTTGTCTTTCAAAGAGACAAAAATTTCTGTATTTTAGCTGTTATTGGTCAAATTGCGACGCAACCTTTTTTTTTGATCTATCAAAACTTTCAAAGCTCAACGTCATGGCAGAATTAGGTGTCTCGTTATTCCGGCATTTACAGATTTCATTGAAAAGTCCAAAGGTTCCTGTTAGCAGGTTGTCATTTAAATATGTCACGTATTTGATTTAAATTGACCAAGTTGCCTACCAGCTTTGAAATAATCCTTATGAAAATTCAAATTTGCCTTTTTTACATCCCTGCATGAGGACTGTAAACAAAGCTGTGAGAGGTGCTGTAAAAAGCCAAACGTTTGCGCACCCCACTTCGCACGACGTGAAAAGCAAGAGGAAAGGAAGGAAGAGAGAGTACCGCTGGCATATGGCAAAGTAGATTTTAGCTATTAACTGAGTTATATCCGGCCATATTGGTAGACTATTTATAGCTCTTGAGTGGCGAGCTTGCTGCGCTCGGACTGTGTTTTTGTAAACTAAATGCATGAGATTAACGTTGGCCAAGTTAATAACTCGTTTGGATCTGCATTACACCCACTCTGCAGCAATCCTAATAACGACTACATTACCATGAGTTCTTAACTAGCTATTTAGCGGAAGAAAGCACTTTCGAAATCGTATGGAGTCTTAATGTTCGGAAGAACCTCAGCTCATGGGGAATAACTGAAATATATGTTATTTGCCGGCTGGGAGGTCCGTATGGTGAAAAACTGTGAGCGAGGTCTTGAAAATACTGACCGAGGCCGAAGCATTTTCCGAGGGCAGCATTTTCAAGACCGAGGTCACAGTTTTTTACCATACGGACCGACCCTTAGCCGGTAAATAACATATTTATTTTTTTTAAACTTGACGAAATTCTTTCCGAAAGAACCCGAATGATTTAGGGCTGTAAATACGGCAAGATCTTCTATAAACTGAACAATTTTTGAGCGAGTAAATGGTAGTTAAATAGAGGTGATGCAAATTAAAAAAGAGATGCCTCAGCGAGACATTTTCATTTGCGTAAGGATAAAGGCGATTTAAAAGGCTTCCAAACAAACTTTGAAACATTATTTTTACAAGTATCTGTCACAATCTGACATCTGTTAATTAGAGAGCGCGCAAGAAAAAAAAAAGCGCAATAACATTTGAAAAACAACGGAACTAGTTTGGCAAGGACTGTCACGACAATGTTTTCTTCAAAAACATTCAATGATCTAACGGAAAGTATTATTCACTCTCATCGACGATTCATTCATGTACGAAGATTTACCTCTATTCATTGAGTAAACGGCGAGGAAAGTGATTGTGAGTGAATTCAAATTTTTTATTTTGAAGTTGTGAGAGTTTGCTCGTTTGTTTGCTGCTATGGTGTGTGTAAATCTGGTCTTTCCTCCACAAAAACGTAATTCGAATGGCACACTCCAACGAGACACGAGGGGATTTAACGCGGCCTTTTCTCAATAAATTCCTTCAGTTTCTGTTGTGTAATTTACGGTACAAATGTCCAAATTGAACGGACTCGGAAAGACCCACTGAGAGCGTATATTTGTTGTAGGACTGAATTTAAAACTTCACTCGCTCTTTGACTATGAACAAATTGTTTGAGAAAATTCAGATATTTAATGAATGAAAGTTCCATCGTTCAGTTTAACTGTAACCAAATACCTCACGTTTTAACTTTCTGGGTACTTTTTGTGACCGATTAAAATTAATTACAGACGGTTTTTAGGCTGCTTGTTGTCAACCAACGTAATGACACTATTGCTAAAGCAAATTCATTCTGAAACCAATATTTTTCTTTCAACCAAAGTGATTTGAGAGAGAGAAAAGAGAGGATTCATAAGTTATTTATCGGCTTGAGGTAGTGATCGACGTGTTTGCTTTAAAATACTGCCCAGCCGGAAAAACGAGATATACTTATGAAAAATGGCAACGAAATTTGGGGTGTACTCGGCGATCCACGAAAGCGTTAC